CCTATATTTACTTTGAGGAAGATAATGAATTTCATTTCTTATCAAAATATCAAAATATCTTCGTCAAAATATGTTAAAATTATTATATCGTTGCCATATTTTCACACATAAACTATCACAATTTTTAACTGATAAAAATGCGATTAATATAGACAGATTCATTAGTACAAACTATGATAAAGAAAGTATGATTCATGCAAAGTCCTTTATATAATTAATTTAGTGCACAGTACTTAACTAGTTTAATTTATTCATACAAGGTTATGGAGATTTAATTACAGTTTAATTAATGATACTACGTGATAACATAATTAATGAATGAATGTTAACTTATGTGAAGAGATTTTCATTAATTGACACACATTATCATAGTGATGAATAACGAGGCAAGGGAGGCAACCCATCCAATTGTAGGGTGTAAGCTCCCTTTTTAATGTTCATTCTGAACAAAACAATGCCAAAGGTATATTTGATGATTTGATTCACTTTCTTCACTTCAACACATGGACAGATACAAATTACACATATACGTAATATTTCAGGGTTTTCCATGACTACCGGTTCATCGGATTACATGGTATGCGATAATTATCCTCCTCATATTGACGTTAGCATATTTATTATTATTATCTGAAAACGGTGTCTTGCTCAAATGTCGGTGTCTTCTTAAATAGAAACGTGATAGTTATCTCAGCAGACATAGCATACCCCTCCCCNNNATATTCCACCTGGCATTTTTCAATGTGTATTATAATTTGTGATTATGTTAGAAACAAGATGATAATTCACTTGTGAACCATACCACCCTTGTCATTTCACACTTCAGTGAAAACAAGTTCACTGCTAAAGATGAAATAACATACTGTACGTATTGGTAGGTCACCGACAGACTCGTGACCTGTTAGGAAATAATCAGAACAGGCAATGGATTCCGTCATCTAAACGTATCAGAACGACTTGTCATGATATAACGAGAAACTGTAGAAGTATTGTATTAACCCATTTCTTTGGAACACTTTGTTATACTAGAATTTCCCTTTATCCTAATATAACGTAAACTATATACAATTCAGGAGTTTTTATAAATGATGTTAAGTAAGACTGAAGATGTACTGCAAAGCTTCCAGATTCAAAACAAACTTAATATTGATGAGACGCCAGATATCACTTATTTTCACTTATTTTTTGTGATGACTGAGCAGAAAAGAAAACAAGAAACGTGGCATTGTTTTCCTACATTATGTACAACCAAGGTAGACCCTCACGCAGCGCCATTTTCCTTGCGATCGAGGCGTCCTTGAAATATGTTATAATCAAATCTCTCTGTTTCTCTATAAACGTGACAAGTCGGTTAATGTCGGGATAGTTATGACATTGATCTTGTCAATTAACACACCCGCCATACGTGCACAGTACAAATCTCCGTCATTATCGACCGAAGCAAACGTGACACCATAAGTACAGCCTCATAAAGTCTATTCTATATGAGATTAAACGTTTTTGTTGTCGTTTTATGGACCCCCTCTTGTGACTTTAATCATTTGAGACAAATTACGTGAACCTCATACCAAACGGAAACCAATGTAAAATATCCCTTTTATCACATGATTAATACTTTTTGAGATCATTGCGACAAGAAATACTTTCCTGTGTCATTCATGTGCATGCTATTTATCTTGGAGTATATTAATTGCCTCCATTGTACCATTATATTATAAGCTGAAAGTCATCTCATTATTATTTATATCAATAGCTCATATTGAACGAGTTCATAATACTGCAAAACATAAGACATTGATGTAATCACTGAATAACATAATGATTATGTGATAAAGCAAGAATTAAATTGAAGCCACACATTCCAGACCTAAAGCAACGTCATTTCGTCAGAAATATAAGAAACACCATATTTCCAGACCTGAAGTGATGCCGCATACATGTACCAGGTAATAAAGAGACTCCACAAAACAAAAGCTTAACTGATACCGAAATCTCGTGAAATAAAGCCGAACTCAAACCAAAGTGACACTGTGTAAACCAGAACTGAACTGTAGTCACCATAAACCATATCTACGTATCTTACAGCCACATTAACCATATCTACGTATGTCACAGCCACATAAACCATATCTACGTATGTCACAGCCACATAAACCATATCTACCATATCTACTTATGTCACAGCCACATTGACCATATCCACGTATGTCACAGTCACATTTACTACAGATACGTATGTCACAGCCACATAAACCATATCTACGTATGTCACAGCCACATAAACCATATCCACGTATGTCACAGCCACATAAACCATATCTACGTATGTCACAGCCACATAAACCATATCCACGTATGTCACAGCCACATAAACCATATCTACCATATCTACGTATGCCACAGCCACATTGACCATATCTACGTATGTCCCAGACACATTAACTACAGATACGTATGTCAAGGCACATTGACCATATCCACGTATGTCACAGCCACATTTACTACAGATACGTATGTCATAGTCACACTGACCATATCCACGTATGTCACAGCCACATTGACCATATCCACGGATGTCACAGCCACATTAACTACAGATACGTATGTCACAGCCCCATTGACCATATCCACGTATGTCCCAGCCACATTGACTACAGATACGTATGTCACAGTCACACTGACCATATCCCCGTATGTCACAGCCACATTGACCATATCTACGTATGTCCCAGCCACATTAACTACAGATAAGTATGTCACAGCCACATTGACCATATCCACGTATGTCACAGCGACATTAACTACAGATACGTATGTCACAGCCACATTGACCATATCTACGTATGTCCCAGCCACATTAACTACAGATACATATGTCACAGCCACATTGACCATATCCACGTATGTCACAGCCACATTAATTACAGATACGTATGTCACAGCCACATTGACCATATCCACGGATGTCACAGCCACATTTACTACAGATACGTATGTCATAGTCACACTGACCATATCCACGTATGTCCCAGCCACATTAATTACAGATACGTATGTCACAGCCACATTGACCATATCTACGTATGTCCCAGCCACATTAACTACAGATACGTATGTCACAGCCACATTGACCATATCCACGTATGCCAGCGCTGCTCATTACGGACAGGTTTCATTGACTGCATTAGACTTATAACGCCACCATCATTCCGATACCAAACCTTGCGTTTGGAGAATGCAGTTGTGTGAGAACCTACTAGCCAAAACATTTAAAACCTTGCACAGGGCATTGGCAATTGGAAGCAGATGGATATAGCTATTTGGACTTTCACAAAGCCATTGCTATGGTCCGATATCAATGCCTTCTTCCCATTTCATGATGGCGGAGTGTGATCGGGTGGGATTACCGGTGGATGGAGAATTTTTAAGAAGCTGAAAACATTGTAATCATGAAGGGAGCAGGTCAGCGGAGGCAAACGTGAGTGTCCCTTGGGCAATGTGATAGGCCATTTACTTTCCCTGTTATATATAAACGAAATGCCAACATTTACCGAAAAATCAAATCAACCAGAGATAGCGTCAACCCACAGCTACAGGGTGTTCCTGACGCTCGCCACCAGTAGACATGCAACTGACAAAAGACATTCAATCCAGAAAAGTGTTGCCATGCATGGACATGATACGAGAAACAACACATGTCACGTGACTAGAACCTCACTGTAGAGGTAGGAGCCACCATCAGCCACCACCTCGCTTGTTATAATCGCTTCCTTGTAAAACAAATGAATCGACATCGCATGAATCAAGAGCGGTATGCTTCCAGTAGGGCCAACAAGAGAGATTAATATAAATCAAATAAAGTGTTTCATATTTGTTGCAAAATAAATAAAGTTAAAAGATACAAAAAGGAGCAATATACCTGATACATGTCTATGGGGAAACAATATCGGCTTGTTGATTGTACACCAGAAACTGATTGCCATAACAGCCTGTATTCAAGAAACCGATCTCAAGCTCTAGCATGGTTTAGTGCTCAAGCCTAATTAATTCTTCCGGTTATAAATTAATAATGAAATTATATTTTGTCAATAATTTGGAAAAACTTTGAAGTGACTTGATGCCATATACTGTTTTAAATGTAATGATTTAAGTGGGTTACAAGAAAGCTGATCTGAGCACATATTCCATGCTTGAGAATGAGAACGGTTTCATGAATACGGGCTCTGGGCTCTATCACGAAAAAACAATATAATTTAGTTACTTACTCAATCTTGTCACATTGCCGTTAAACTCGCATACGACAATCTCAAATGATTATTATTATTATTATTATTCTTTTTATTTCCTCCGAATCGAAGATTCACAAACAGAACAATACATATATGCATTCATTGAAGATTGACAAAGTAACGTACATGTTATGTGACAATATACAAACGGAAGTTCAAAAGTTAAATTGTATTGTAAAGTAAGGGTTACGCTGGAGTTAACTCCCCTTTGCGTCTCTACGCTCCTTAACTTATCTTAAGTTACTTAAGAGAGATGACCATCATACGAAATACAGAAAAAGGAAAAATGTTACAACTGACACATTATAAAGTTTAGGTTAAGACATCATTTGTACAAGTTACAGATTTTATGCGAAAGTCATCTACATGTGACTCCGTTGAATGGAATTGCAGTGTACTTACAGTTTCTTTTTACATCGTTTGCAGTGTTAATTCTACTGCAAGTGTTTTAAATTGAAAATTAACTTTGATCCTCATATGTAAAAATAATACACTATACATGAGTTTTAGCTACAATTTCAACCGCAAATGTAATGGAATTGTGCTAGGATACATTGGGCAATCGCCCGGGCCGTGACGATATAGCTCAGTTGGTTGGAGATGTTTTGTACGCATAATTTGGAGGAACCAGGTTCGAATCTCGGTCTGGTTGTTGTATTTTCAGTCCTATCTGCCTACCATGTCAGTTTCTTTCATTTTCTTTGAACATGCAAACGTGACACTTCAACGTAAAGGCTTGTCGGTTTTTCCAGGCTAAACAGAAAGTAAAATACCCGGACCAATATGGCGAGTCTACAACAGCAATACACAAAGAGGTATAGTGTATGGTCATTGTTAATTTCCTGATTATTTCGTGAGACGTCCACTGGTCTGTATAGACGGACATGTATAATGCATGTGCGATCTTTGTTGAAGTGTATATGGGTGACAATTCACGTCGTTTTGTATTGCTAACGGTGTTGTAATAACATCTAAATTTTGACCGATTATACACGTATTATAAGTATTACAGCCGTCAGATGAGTGCCGATTATTTTCAGGAATATCACAATTTGAGAGAGATTGAAAATTACATATTATAAACGTATATTCCTTAACACTCTGTAAACACATAGGTCTAATGCATGTATGCAAAGCGAAAATAGTTAGCGAGAACTAGGGCATCTGTCAGGGAACATGGACTTGTATCTAGAAAGAAAGAGCTCTCGCTGATCCGACGAGGGCCTTAAACAGCATTAAACTTTAGACTCTCAAAATAGGAATATTCATGATTTATTTAATTGTGGCAGGTTTGTAAGTGTATTACAATCTAGATAGGCAAGATTCCAGATTAGGGTACGTTGAAAGACCATACCTCATATCAATTACAAATCAATATCTGGTTAACGTCATTTTCTTTTCATCTGTGAGATATGGATAACATAAAAGTCATGTTTCATTCCATTTACAACACTCGTACTAATTTTATGAACTTGCCTAAAACAAACACAGACTAGTCTGGCCGATAATCAACTGATATGTGTTATTGACAATATGTGATTTCATATTTAATTGTAGTACTTAAACATTGATTTCTGTAAAGGTTGATCCTAACCAAACGGGTCGTTATAAATATATCAGTTCAAATTAGATTCTACACTTGGTGTACTATATATAGACAAAATTTTACAAAGCTCAGCCTCCAGCAGATAATATGCGCCAGTAATAACGGAGTAGTCCCCCCTTGTAACAATAAGCCTCAATACTGTACTATGTTTTGTATCATTACGTAATTGTTCTCTTCACATTTTCTATGATTATAATTAATGCTGTATGTTATGTATTATGTGAGACTTAATTTCTTCAAAAACAAAAGGGGGATGCAAGTGCTAATTGGCTTTATATAGATTATTCAAAATTTAGGTTTTCTTTTTTAGATTTTCTTTTAGCGTTTATATCCAGTGGAGATATTCAATTAAATCAAATTTTAGTTGTAGCAAGACATTTTTTCTTTATGCTGATGGTAGAATTTAGATCCCCCAAATTTGTAATACGTTTTTAAAAATGTGTATTGATATATTGATAGTTAAGGTCAACCCAAGATATAAGGAAATTTAGAGGCTCTGTGATATTAAGTCTTTTTCTTTCACATCTTTTCAAGGACCTTTTATTATTTCATCATTTGCATGGCTTGTAAAAATACATGTATTCTCAATTAAAATACTCCCCCCTCAAGATCTGCCCATACTCAGTGTATTTCTCTTCACAGATTACACAAGGAGTTTGTCGCACTCCAGAAGAACAAGCCCAGTGGTATCACTCTGTCCCTTGTGGCTGACAACCTACATATGTGGCAGGCAGTGATTCCAGGACCCCAGGACTCCCTCTACGCTGGTAAGAAAGCAACGATGACCAGGACAGCACAAACATGTTACCAAGGGTTACAACAAAACGAAACAAAACATTGTTCAGGAACAGAGAAAACATATGAATCTCTAACCAACAGAGGATACAACAAACTAAAACCTATTCCTCCCTCACTTACAGGGTAAATCTATAAGAAAAAATTAACCCTCTCGCAAACATGGAGAACACCCCAGATAAAAAAAACTATCAAACTTACAGGAGACAACATGGAGAAAAATAACTCACTCACAGGGGAAATCCGAAATGCCAACCTAGCAGATGGTTGTATTAATTTCTTAATGCCCAGCAATTATATATATGATTAAAGGGTGGGTATCTCAAATATTTCCATATATTGACACAGAAAGTAAATCCCCGGGGACGGGGATGGATCTCCAAACAAAACCTGGTGGCATGAGTGTATGCATCTTTTCATGCGTCCATGTAAATATGACCAAGGGAGTGAGTCTCCAAGGGCGTGACATGACCTCATAGCCAATCCTGTTAGCATGATTGTGTTTTATTTTTGTGTCCAGCAACTGAAGACACAGTAATGGGGATTTTTATTGTGTCCAATGATGTAACTCTTGGACTTTGTTCCAGAGAGTAGAGCAAGGCACCAGGGCCAATCCTGTTAGCATGGATGCCTATATCTGTTTCCAACACCTGGTTAACTGATTGGGATCTTTATCATTTTTAAGCATTACATCCTTACACCCAGTTACTACTTACCTTTAATCGAAATATCACCTGCCTCATTTATATGTATGTTTCAGACCAGATATTGTAACAATTTGTGTTGTTTTTCAGGAAGAAAAGACTTAAAGATTGTGTATAGAGGTATCATTTTAAGGTCTCAAATTCACAAATTTCTCCACCTCTCAGCACCCAGGTTGGTCACATCCTTCCATTATATGAATATGAATTCTTAGTCCCAAGGATGCAACATAAAAAATTTAATTGAAATCTGATCAGTCGTCTAGGAGAAGCAATGTTTGAAAATGTTGACAGACGAAGGATTCTGCATTATGTCATAAGCTATCACCAATTCACTTTCCTCATTACACAGGAACTCGGTTAACCAGGTTCAGCTTAATGTCTGTCTCTTTGTTACCTTGTTCTCTATGATAAATTAATTATTTTTTTTCGTTGTTTCTAAGGAGGAACCTTCACAGCACAACTAGTCATACCGTATCCTTTACTCTGTGTTGGAGTATCACAACAGGCTAGATACTTAACATTGCAGACTGTAGACAACACATGATAGGTTAGATACAACACATGGCAGGATGTAGACAACACATGATAGGCTAGATACAACACATGGCAGGCTGTAGACATCACAGGATAGGCTAGATACAACACATGGCAAGCTGTAGACAACACATGATAGGCTAGATACAACACATGACAGGCTGTAGACAACACAGGATAGGCTAGATACAACACATGGCAGGCTGTAGACAACACAGGATAGGTTAGATACAACACATGGCAGGCTGTAGAAAACACAGGATAGGCTAGATACAACACATAATAGGCTGTAGACAACACAGGATAGGCTAGATACAACACATGACAGGCTGTAGACAACACATGATAGACTAGATACAACACATGGCAGGCTGTAGACAACACAGGATAGGCTAGATACAACACATGACAGGCTGTGGACTTACAATGTCACCTTTCTTGCCCTTAAATTCATTCTTATTTAGTTATTTGTAACACTTGTCACATGAAATACATAATAAACCTGCTTTCTTGAATTCGGAAATTGTTTTTGTCAGAAAACATGTTAGTTAAAAGCTAATCCTTAACTATGTCAGGGAGGAATACCCACTGAAGCCACCTGCGGTAAGTATACTGGACTACGTCAGACCGGCATAGTAACCCATCAAATTAAGCCATCTACAAAGAGTAGACTTAACTATGTCAGGGAGAGTACCCACCGAATTACGACATCCACGGAGAGCAGGGGTGAGGGAAGGGGGAGTATCCACCGAATTACGCCTTCCATGGAGAGCAGGGGTGAGGGGAGGGGATGTACCCACTGAATTAGGCCATCCACGGAGAGCAGGAGTGAGGGAAGGGGGAGTACCCACCAAATTACGCCATCCACTGAGTGCAGGAGTGAGGGGAGGGGGGAGTACCCACTGAGTAAGGCCATCAACGGAGAGCAGGAGTGAGGGGAGGGGGAGTACCCACTGAGTTAGGCCATCCACTGAGAGCAGGAGTGAGGGGAAGGGGGAGTACCCTCTGAGTTAGGCCATCTACAGAGAGCAGGAGTGAGGGGAGGGGGAGGGGGAGTACCCACTGAGTTAGGCTATCTACGGAGAGCAGGAGTAAGAGGAGGGGGGAGTACCCACTGAGTTAGGCCATCGATGGAGAGCAGGAGTGAGGGGAGGGGGGAGAACCCACTGAGTTAGGCCATCCACTGAGAGCAGGAGTGAGGGAGTGAGGGGACGGGGGAGTACCCACTGAGTTAGGCCATCTACGGAGAGCAGGAGTGAGGGGAAGGGGGAGTAACCCACTGAGTTAGGCCATCCACTTAGAGCAGGAGTGAGGGGAGGGGGGGGGGAGTATCCACTGAGTTAGGCCATCTACGGAGAGCAGGAGTGAGGGGA